CTGCACATCACAATCATTCCAACCTCCCCTCCCCACTGAACCCATCCTTGGGACAAAGAAACAATTAAGCTAAGATACCCCACACAGAGACTGAATCAGACAATGTAGATAATACCCTGGGCATGTCACTTAACTTCTGTCTGCCTCAGTTTCCTCAACTACAAAATGGGTATAATAATTACACCTACTCCATAGGGTTGCTGTGAGGAATGAATGTACACAAAGTGCTTTGTTAACCTTACAATGCTATATAAATTAAGCCATAATAATAATATATAATAATGTATTATTATATAATAATAATATTATTACTGAATGTAAAGTTTTTGAGGGCCAGAGCCTAATACAGTACCTAGCACATAGTAGATGATTAATAAATACCTTCTGATTGCTCCAAAGCGCAGCTAATAAGTGAGTACCTACTCTACAACACAGTGCTAGGCCCTAAGGTAGATTCCGAGATAATTAACATAGGGTATATCTAAGCTGGAAGAGGCCCTACGAGGACATCTAGGCCAACACATACCTGAGCAGGAATCCTTTCCATAAATTCCAAGCATGTGATCATCCAGCCTCTTTTAAAGACCCCCCGGCCTGACCCCACTCACCCTCACCCTTCATGATATGAAGTTGCTGACAAATTCAAGGATCATTGGTTTAAGAGGTGAGGGGGACCTTAGTGATCATCTCATCCAATCTTCTCACTTACAGATAAGGAAACTGAAGCACAATTCATAGCTTAATGTAGCCTGATTTGCACCTGGGCCCTCTGATTCTAAATCACTCATTCTTTCCATTGGACCACAAATAGATTCATTTGTTCACCAGGAAAGGAAAGGCCCAGCCAGGAGGGGAGCTGGGTTTAGGGAAGGAGAGCACAGTATGTCAGCAAGCCTGCATTCACCTACTAGGCGCCAGGCACTGTGCTAAGCACTACGGATATAGAGAAAGGAAAAATGGATTCCTTCCCTCAAAGAACTCACAATCTAATGCAGACAATTATGGGCATATAAGACACAGACGGGTAATTTGGTGAGTACTCACCAGAGGGAAGGCACTAACCCTCAGAATTTAGGATCGGGAAAGGCTTCCTGTGGAAGGTGGGACTTTAGCTGAGACTTGACTAAAACCAGGGAAGATTGGAGGTGGAGATGAAGAGAGACAGCATTCCAGCCATGGGGGACAGACGGTGAAAATGCCCAAGCCCAAAACTGGGGGGTCTAGTTCAAGGAAAAGCAAGGAGGTCAATGTCACTATCGCTGCTTACTTGATATAAGGTGTAAGAAGCCAGGAAAGTTAGGAAGGGGCCAGGATACAAAAGGCTTTATAAATCAGAGAGTTTTATATTTTATCCTGGGGGCAGATCACCCCTCCCACCCCACCCCTTCCACCCACCCCCACCCCAACCCCACCATTTACTAGCTGTGTAACATTGGGCAATATCCTCTTCTGTTGTCCTTTTCACATACCAGCGCAATGCCAGGAAACTGAATCGCTTCCATTTGAATTGTCTTAGGAAGATTCTGAAGATCACCTGGCAGGATATGATACCAGACACTGAGGTACTTTCTTGAGCTGAAGTGCCAGGCATACAAACTCGGCTTTAGAGAGCGCAACTCCATGGGCTGGGCACGCTGTTCAAATGCAAAACACATGCTTGCCAAAAAGACTACTTTATGGAGAACTCAAATAGGCAAGTGCTCACACGGTGGTCAGAAAAAGCGATCCAAGGGCACTCTCTAGGTATCTCTCAAGAACTTTGGAATTGATTGTGTGACACGGGAGACCTGCCCAGCATGACGTCCTCACATCAGAGAAGGTGCTGGGCTCTATGAGCAAAGCTGAATTGAAGTAACTCTAAAGAGATGTGAGATGCGTAGATTTAGAGAATCCACCCCAAATGTTCACATGGACGATTTGTGCCCCACCTGTGGTAGAGCATTCTGAGCTTGTATCGGTATAAAGAGCCACAGTCAGACACACTGTAACTTGACTCTAACATAGTGATGTCGTTCTGGTCCTCTTTGAGAATGAAGGACAGCCTCATCTGCGAAATGAAGGGCTTACACAGATGATCTCATTCCAAAGAGGGGAGAGAAGAGAATAAGCATTAGAGTGCCTACTGTGCACCAGGCACTGTGCTAAGCATTTTTCACAAATATTATTATCTCATTTGATCTCAGAGAAACAAGAGAACAGGACCTCTGGTTTAGCCCACAGCCCTTCTGCTAAAAAGAGCATTAGAATTCTAGAAACTTCCCAGAACCGAGGGGTTTCTCAAAAGTCAGCTAGTCCAAAGGGGCAGCTAGGTGGCTAAGTGGATACAGCACTGGCCCTGAAGTCAGGAGGATATGAGTTCAAATCCGACCTCAGACCAAACACTTGACACTAGCTGTGTGACCCTGGGCAAGTCACTTAACCCCAATTGCCAAAAAACAAAAACAAAAACAAAAACAAACCTCCCAGACTGAAAAGTCAGCTAGTCCAATCCCAACCCAAAGCATGAATCGCCTTTAAAACTTCCTGGACAAAAAAAATTAAAATTAAAAAAAAAAAAAAACCCTGGACAAGAGGTCATCCAGTCTCTGCTTGAAGACCGTCAGTAATGGGAAGCTCACTCCCCCTTGAGGAGGTCCATTCCCTTGTCTGACAGTTTTGCTTGCGCCTCTCCAAATGCTGGCCCTGCAGGTCCACAGGTTGGGAAACACTGGCCAGTGACTCTGTTCTCATAGAAGCTTAGATTTAAAGCTCTTAGGGACCTTAGGGGTTATAGCGTTCAGTCCTCTCATTTTACTATTGTTATTTTTGTTATTGTTTTGTTTTAATGCATTTTGTCTGCACATCACAATCATTCCAACCTCCCCTCCCCCACTGAACCCATCCTTGGGACAAAGAAACAATTAAGCTAAGATACCCCACACAGAGACTGAATCAGACAATGTAAACAATATTCCATCCCATTGGTCCCCCAACTCTCTTCTGTGAAATAGGAGATATGTTTCATTATTTGTTCTTAGGAGCCTTCCTTATCTTTTCAGTTACTGAAAAGTCAGCTTCCTTTAGCAATCTTTTCATTAGCCATTAGCCAATGAGTCTATTGTCTTCTTCATTGTGCTATTACACTCTGCATCAGTTCATATGAATCTTCTGATACCGTGTCAAAGACAATAAAATATGTAAAGTGCTTTGCAAACCTTGAAGCACTAGGTAAGTGCTAGCTATTATTCCAAGCTATTATCACATTTCTTTGAATTTTTTTGAATTTTTTAGATTCATCATTTCTTGCCACACAATATTTCATCCATTCACATGACATCTTTTTTTTGAGCCAGTCCCCAATTAATGGGCCTCCACTTTTTTTTCCAGTCTTTACTATTACAAAGGGAATTGATATAAATATTTTAGCATCACATGTTGGATCTTCATTTCTGTCTTTGACTTCCTTAAAGGTATATGCTTAATAATCAGAACACTGAATCAACAGGTGTGGATGATTTGAATAATTCCAAATTGAGATACAGAACAACCAATCACCTCATTTCATAAATGAAGAAACTGAGGCCCTTAGAAGTCATTGTTGTTGTCTGCCCTTTCCATCTTCCAGTCCTGACTGTCTCAGATGTCCACTTTCCACCTAGAACGGTTTTTGAAGAGGACCAATGACATCATGAGGGTGATGTCTTCACTTGTGAGTGAATTGGGTTTAAATGAGGCAGAGCTGTGCCAAGTCTCATCCTTGCTCTCTCCTCCCAGTGGCAAGACTAAGGGATTTACTCAGGGTCACGGGGGTAGTTAAGTGGAAGACCCTCAGATTTAAACCCAGTAAGATTTCCATTACATCATGCTGCCTCCTTTTTCCATCTCTTTATCCAACTATTCATCCATCCTCCATCCATCCATCCCCTATCCGTCTATCTGTCCATTTATCCATCCATCCATCCATCCATCCATTCCCCATCCATCCATTATCCATTACCCAATCCATCCATCCATCCATCCATCCCCCATCCATCTAAGCCATTAAACAACCATTTATTAGGATCCTCCTATATAATGTAGTAATTTGTTTTGCTTGAATGTTACATAATGACTATGTTACATATGTTACAAGACTTTTGTTTTCCTTTTTTTTTCTTTTAAACTGGGGGGATGTAGGAAGAAGAGAAAATAAATGTTTGTTCATTGAAAATTTAAATAAAATAAAAGATTTGGTGGAAAAAGTTTTCCTTTATGTAACACCCTGTGTTGGCCACTGCAGGTATTGTGGGATAGTAGACCGACTCCTGAATTTAGAGTCAGAAGACCTGAGTTTGAAACCTGTAGGCCAGTGACACACCACCTCTGGACCTCTGTTTTTTCATTGGATTGATCCCTTTCATCTCTAAATCTATGACCTTGTGATATATCAAAATGATTCCAAGGTCCTTTCAACTCTGAAGTGATAAAGTCTTGGCTAAGACACCGTATGTGCCTTGTAGAGATCAGCATCTGGTGGAGGAATCTCAGATCCCACTTGCATGGGCCCTCCCTCTAGTGATACCATGTCCTCCTGCAGTTCCTCCAGAAGGGGCCAATGGACCCGGTGGGGGTTGGGAGGTTGCCAATGGAACCTCCATTGAGAACTCTAGAACACAAACCCTTAAGAACACCCAACACCTTTCCATATCTTCCTGGAAGAACCACAACTGTCTCCCACCCAGGGAGGGGACCAGGGCCTCCCTTCACATTTGTGACCAATACCATCTCAGACAACTCTCTTGTGTCTGGTATCTCTTTCAGCAATATTCATCTCAGTACCACGGCTGGGGTGTTAGCTATTTCCTCCTCAACGGTCACCACTTCATACCCTCCCACATCCAGCACCAGCCCTATGCTTCCTGTTTCCAAGGCAATGTAGGGGGAGGGAGGAGAGAGGGAAGGGGATGTTTCTGAGCCAGGTCTGTGCCTACCCAAAAGGTGGCTTGGAGGTCAAAATCAAGAAAGAGTCCTCAGCCACATTGTCATTATCAGAAAATGTTTATTGACTATTACCTGGGACTGTTTTCCTCCCAGGAAGGGATCAGAGAATCTCAGCTGGAAAGGACTTCTGAGGCAATTTTGTCCCTTCTCCAATATCCTTGACAAATAATCCTCTAGCCTGTTTGAAGACCTGTAGTGATGACATTCCAGTTCTCCGTCTGGATTCTTTTTCATGCATACCATGCCTAGAACCTGAGACCGCAGGACATCAAACTGGGAAAAACTTTTGAACAAAAAAACACCAGAGCTGGGAGAGACTTTAGAATGTCAGAGCTAAAAGGGATCTTGGAACATAGAAGGTGAGCACTGGGAGGGCCCTTTGACCATGGAACATCAGAGCACTGGGAAGGCTTTAGAACATGGAGCTGGATCTTATAGGTACAACCCTCTCATCTGATGGTGGAGCCTATCGAGATTTGCCCAAGATGATGCTGTCAGAGCTGGAGCTAGAACTCTACCAAGTCTCCCAGACTGCCAGCCCAAGCCTCCTTCCATTGTTCTAGGAAAATGCAGAAATGAGTCAGCCTGGGGAATGTAGAAAGAAGGAGGCAGGCTGTGGAAACACAAGTCAAAAGAGGTGACGGGCAGAGAGAGGGCCCGGTGCTGCCATCTGGGCTCAGACAGGCCTGGCCCAGGGCTCAGAGCTCTGCCCTTTCCATCTTCCAGCCCTGACTGCCCCAGATGCTCACTGTCCACCTAGAATGGTTATGGGTGGGGCCTTACACCCCACATCTCAGAAAATGGCAGCTACCTCCGTGAAATGACTGGACAGTGGCTCACAGTTCCTCTTTAATTTGTGAAAAATAACATGTAAGTGTGAGAAGAAGGGAGGGGCCTATGGGTAGGGGAAGAGGGAAGGCACAGGTATCAGAGACTGGAAGATAGAGAGAATGACCCTTCTAAATGGTCTCAAACCAGGGGACTCAGGGCTGGGACTTTCAGATAAATCCCCCAGAACCAGAAAGGGGGAAGGTTGATGAAGAGAAGTGAGAGAAGGAGCCTGCAGTTGGTTTAAAAAAAAATGACCCAAAACACCAAGATCAACCGTTATTTGGAGGGCTGTCACTCAATTCCTCCCTCAAACCCATCCCCATACACACAATCACATTCTAATATATACATATATATATATATATGTATACATATACATATACATATATTCCCTCTCTCTGTTACACATAAGCTTTTTTCTTCTCTGGGCCTCAGTTTCTTCATCTGTAAAATAAGGGGATTGGACCAGATCAATCACTCTTAACCTTTCTTTGTGTACTTAACCCCTTTAGGCAGCAGTCTGCTGAAGCCTATGGACCCTTTCTCAGAATCATGCTTTTAAATGCATAAACAAAAGAGATAGGATTACAGAGGAAGCCAATTATGTTGAAATGCAGTTATCGAAATTTTAAAAAACCACACACAACAGGTTCACAAGCCCCAGGTCATGATCATCTACACTTCGTATCTCTGAAGTCCCACAGAGCTCTGAACCCTGTGATCCTATGAAATTAATTAAAACAAACTTTCACACACACTTAACACATGTCCTGATACACATGTGCCCACATTCAGACCTTCAAGTAATAGGAAGACTGAAATCTCCTTCCCTAGAGATTTCTGAAGACAGAGGGGTGAGCAATCTCCTCCATCAGGGACACTTTAAGTGCCCTGGAGACAAGGGGGTGAACAAGATGACCTCTGTATGTGCTATCACATAGAGGAACTCTGTTGGCTCTGAGATCTACACACCTAGACAAATGTCTAGTGCCTTATGCACATGCAACAGCACAGATATGTCCCTAAGGTGAAACCCTATCCCAGGACTAATCCCCCTACCTGCCCACACTTTTCCAATTCATTCTGCAGATTCCATTGTAGTCCATTTAGTCCATTCTCCATGGCCCATGTACACGAGGCTCCCTGTGAAGCTTAACTGAGGGCCGTGGCCCCCCTACCTTCTCTGAAGTCCCTACTAAAACAAGTCATCAGTCTGTGAGCTGCCCACTCCACCTGGCCCAGCAGCCTCAGCATTGCATGCACTCCTCAGCAATCCTGACCCGAGGAAGAATGGGGCTAGGGTCATCCTAAGAACCCAACCCTTCCTAGTGAACCAGAACAGAAAGGTAGGGTTTCTGTAGGGGTGTGGAGGGGGAGGCAGCTGCAGGCAAAGAGCCTCAGTCCACCAAAGCAGCCACTCCCTCAGACCCAGAGGTAGAAGATCTTTGCCCTGGGCATCCTGCCAGTGCCCACTGGGGCTGCTGGGCTGTATGGTGTAACATCCTCTTTGCCCAAGACATCAGGGCCTCAAGCCCAGGACCCTTACCCCAAATCATTGCCCAAAATCTCTTGCAGGAAACTAGGCAAGGGGGGACAATTCCTGGAACCTCAGCCAATAGTTCATACAGCAAAGCGCACAAAACCCCACCCCCAACCTGCCCCCCCTTAGGGGGACCATGGTCAGAAGACAAGAGCCAAAGAGGAGGGATTTGGGCCTGGAGGCTGGGGGCAGGGAATTCCAGCAGGCTCAGACACTTCGTACACTGGACACGCTGGACAGAGGCTCACGCATCCGGAAGCTGAGAGAGCGGGAGGTCCGAAGGCTGTCCCGGGGCCGGAGGGAACTTTCAGTGGAAGAGATGGAATGGGTCTCTATTGCCCGGACCAGGCAGTCCCGGGGCCCTCGGATACCCAGCTTCAGACAGCCACAGCACAGGAATCTCAACACGGCCCGGCACACCTCCCGGCTGCGGAAGGAGTAGATGAGAGGGTTGATGGCCGAGTTGAGCACCGCCAGAGTCAAGATCCAATCCATACCCCGTAGGTACTCCTGGGCCCAGGCGGCGGTGCCAAAGATGTCTGCCAACAGCAGCCCAAAGAGCGGACCCCAGCAGAGGAGGAAGGCCACCAGGATCATCAGCACCGTCTGCAGCAGGCGCTGGGCCTTGCAATGGGCGTAGCCTCGCGGGACCTTCTGTCCATTGGTGCGCACCACACGGAAGATAGCGCCGTACAGCAGCATGATAGAGGCCAGAATCAAGCTGAAGATGACCACGCAGAAGAGGATGTACCACTTGGAGTAAAGGGGCAACAGGCTGGAGCAATTGGAGAAGTCACAGATGCAGTTCCAGCCAAGCAGAGGCAGCAGACCCAGCAGAAAAGCCAAGAACCAGCAGAGGATGATGAAGCCGTACACACGGACCACCTTGCTGGCGCTACGCGCCACCATGGGACGCATCATGGTGGCAAACCGCTCCACGGCAGTGAAGAGAAGGCTGAAGGTGGACGCAGCCAGGGCCATGAAGAGCGCCCCCTCCCGAAGGAACCACTGGGTGGGGGTCAGGTGGAAAGTCCGTCTCCCGGACAGGACGATGTTGATCAGGTAGGCCACCCCCGTGAGGAGGTCGCTCAGGGTGATGTTGACGATGCAGTAGTAGACCCAGCGGCGAGAGCGCATGTGACTGATGATGGCCACCAGCACCAGCAGGTTCTCCAGGATGATCAGACAGCTGACAGCCACAAAGAGGGTACGGAGCCAGCCTAGGCCCTCTTCAGGTGGTCCCCGAAACTCCAGGCGTCCCGTGTAGTTGTAATGCTGCAGGATGAGGTCCGGGTACCCGAGGTCCACCAGCTGGCGGCAAGAAGAGAGGTTCATCACCCAGCCTGGGAGCAAACCTAGGGCCACAAGGAAACCAGGCTGTGCTATTCCCCAGGGCCACTCACTAGCAAAGAGAGACCTTGGTGTCTGGGCAGCAGCAGGGTGGAGTGCCCTGCTTGTCTTGAGCAGCAAAGAAGACTAGGCCAGAGTTTCCTGTTGTTTGAAATTTCCTGTTATGCAGCAAAGCAGTGCCCCCAAGGATGAGGCGGAGGGGCAGGGAGGGGCCAGGGCCCCAGCAGGGCCTCCACCCCAGCTGTGGTGGAGGAGTAGCAACCCAGGAGCCCTCGGCGGCCCCCAGGAAGGCTCCCAGATGGGGACCAAAGCAGGACAGGTCCTGACCTGGCGAGGGAAGGAGCCCAAGTAAGGCTAAGGTGCTTAGCTATCAAGGGAAGCTGGTCCTCTCCAAGCCCTCTTCAGGCATGCAGCCCTTTCTCACAGGAATGGGTGAGGAAAGGGACCTGCCTTGTACATCCTAAGAATGGAAGCCCTTGGCCATAATTCAGCCACAGCCGCCCTCCTTAACTCACTGTCCAAGGGAGGGCTCTGGTCAAGGGGCAGCCCAGATACTGAGTCTGGAACCTAGGTTCCTGGAAGCCATAGAGGGGAAAATTATTACACAGGCAGTACTGACATTTACACACACACACACACACACACACACACACACACACACACACACCCCCACCAACGATAGACATACACAAGAAACCAGCACCTGTGTAGATATTAACAAAAAGGAACAATACAGAAAGAGAAATACAGATGGCATTGAGGGACTTACACAGATACTGAAAAGCAAAGCATCGATTCATGCACCTGGACACAACACACAGAGACCAGGCACATCGAAACTCTGGGGGCCAGACAGGATCCAGCCAGGAACTGAGGGGGATGTGAGAGCGTGAAAATGCTTCCCTTTTGACATTCTATCTTCTCTGGTCTAAGGACCCTTTCAACCCTAGCATTCTATGGTCTAAGGGCCCTGCCAACTTAGACATTGTGTTTTATATTCCAAGGGCACCTTCCCACCTCAGTTCTGACGTTTTCTATGTTCTAAGGACCTTCCCAGTTCTGACATTCTGTGTTCTAAGGACCCTCCCAGCTCTGGCATTCCATGTTCTAAGCACCCTCCTAGCTCTGACATTCTACAATTGCATGATTCTGGTGAGGTGAAGAAGGCAGGACAATAGTTGATGCACTAACAATTCATTGGGTGTAAAAGGACACCAAGATACCAGAAGTGGAGAGCTCATAGGCAACAGTTAACCCACGATGGGAGCCCAGCGCCCCTTGTGGGAAGAACGATGAACTGGCCACAAGAGGAGGAAGGCAAGCTGAGACTCAATCAGTCTGATACGGGATATGGGACCCCTAAACTTCAAGAGCCCTTAATCTCAAGGAGAGACCCCCATCTTGCCCTCAGAGAGCCCTCAGTCTGAGGTGGGGAGAGAGAAGAGAAATACCTCTTCCCTCAGAGCATGATCTAATAGGCTACTCACAGGTTCCCTAGAGAACCCCTTATGTCTAAAGGCCTGGGGAGAATCAACCAAGAAGACTCCCAGGACCTGGGTTCAAGTCCTCCTTTTAACACATACTGGCTATGTGATCTCAGGCTAACTTCTCCATGTTCTAGGCAACACTTTAAAACTACAATTTGGAGGGTACATGTTGATCTGCATAGGTAGAGGGAATTAAAATCATAAGTCAGGTCGAAAAAGTAAAGTAAAACAAAGGAAAAACGAGCCTGCAAGGGGAGAACTTTGTACATTCCTTTCTTGTGCTCTAATCAATTTTTATTGTGCCCTCTGGTTAGTCTTCCAAATGGGGAAGGGAACAAACATTTATTAAGCACCAGCTGTGTCAAAAGTGAGCCCTGTGCTAAGTAAGCTGGGCCATTTAAAGATATGATCTCATTCGGTCCTCACAACATCCCTGGGAGGAAGGTGCTAGATAGATCTGGCCTCTGCTGGGTTAAGCCCATGAGCTCCTGGAGGGCAGGCACCACCTGGTTTTCACTATCTTCATTATCTTTCTCCAACACTCAGCACAATTCACTCATTAAACACAGAAGGCACCTGATAGTTACTAGATGGAGGGATGGTTCTCATAGATACATAGCTATATATCTACAGAGATAACTCTATATCTATGTAGATATATCTATGCACATGCACACTCTATATTGATATAGATATAGAGATATAAATCCATAGAGAGTATATGTAGGTAGATATACACAGCTATATATCTAGAGAGACTATGTGTGTATACATGTATGTATGGTTCCATGCATGTGTCTTATAAATACACACATATACATATATATTCATATATATGCATGTGTATATATGTGTGTGTATCTTATAAGTACCTAGCTAATTATGTGTTGACTTCCCCCAACCCCATTAGAATGTGAACTCCTTAAGGGAAAGGACTGATTTTACATTTTTTTGTATCCCCAGCACTCAGCACAGTGTCTGGTGTATAGTAGGTACTTTGTAAATGCTTTCTCACTCTTTCATTCTTTTTTTTTTTTTTTAGGCAATTGGGGTTAAGTAACTTGCCCAGAGTCTTCCAGCTAGTGTCAAATGTTTGGTCTGAGGCCAGATTTGAACTCAGGTCCTCCTGAATTTCAGGGCCGGTGCTCTAGTCACTGCACCACCTAGCTGCCCCTTCATTCATTTCTCTTCTCCTGGTTCTGACATCCCATGCTCTAACATCTGGAGCATCTCCGACATTCTCTGTTCCGTGCTTCCCAGTTGACATTCTGTGTCAAAAAAGGGGGGAGCGGTTTCCAGCCCCTAAATTTTAGGATCTTCCTGTCCTTATCCCGTCCCATTCCCCATGATCCTCTAGGAAGTTTCCTTTGAACTAATGAGGAGAAGTGGGTACAAGGAAGGGTCTTGGAGAGGAAGGAAGGATGAATAGTGCCAAGGTAGAGTGCATCAGAGGAGTAAGGAGGAACACTCCGGGGGTTCAAATGAGATTTTAGGTGTGTCCTCCTGAATCTGGGTCTATCGAGAGCTCTTAACTCTCTCTTTGTCACCCCTGTCCAGGACCTTCCCTTCCTTTCCCATCCCTGAGCCGCCCCCCTATTACTGGGTCCTCTTGGTGGGGCACCCAAATCCCCCATCTCTGCACCCTTCTCCTCACACACACTCACACTGTTGCTGTCCAGACCCTGGACACATCAGGCCCTTTCCTGTTGCTGTTCAGCCGTGTTCCACTCTTTGTGACCCCAGATGGGGTTTTCCTGGTAAATATACCCAAGTGGTTTGCCATTTACTTCTCCAGTCCTCAGGTCCTTGGGCTCAGGTTTTGTGCCTACCAAGGATCTGAGAATATGGTGCTGTGTGCTCTCCTGCTGCTCCTTGCTCATTGGAATCATAGGCATGGTCCTTCCCTCCCCAAGGAGCCTGCTCCATCCTAGGGCAGCTCTAAGCGGTAAAGTTTTCTCCCCCAGCTAGCCCAAATCTGCCTTAGCTGGTGAAATCCAGCAGTGAGCACACACCTCAAGGTACAAAGCTGGTTAGTCTGAGTGATTCTATTGGTTCCCCAAAGTTTTCCTGCATTGCTCCTAAGTCTACCTTTTGGGGACACCAGAATGCATTTGTCTCCTTCCTTCAGTATCTGAAGACAGAGAGCTCGCCCTGCTCCCAGGCTTCTCTTGTCCACATGAAGCCTCCCCAGTTCTTTCAATAGGTCCTTGTAGGAAACGGCCCCCAGCTTCTTCATCATTCTTGTCTTCTGCTGAATATCAACTATGTCTTAGCCTGCTCTTGGTGGTTGCACCCTCAGAGGGACCCTGGAACTTGCGAAGGTAACATCCTGTCCAGGCTGTCTAACCCATCAGAGGCTCTAGTGAGGAGCTGCTGATTCTGGAGGCCAGGAGAGTGGGGCCAGGCAGGTGGAATAAGAGGAACTGGGGATGTGGGGCGAGAGAGACAAGAATTCTCATTCCCAGCTACCAGACCCTGAGGGGTGACGATGGGGGCCTCTTTCTCTGAGTGGGGACCTAGGTTGGGAACAGAAGGATCCCTGATAGGTCTCCTAGGGGAGCTGAGGAGTAGGGGCTGAGGTCCTTGGAGGTGATGGCAGGGAGGGCAGCTACGGCATCACCCCTCCACCAATGCAGAAAGACTCTGGGGCTGACCAGGATGTCTGTCAGAGGAAGCTGTCAGAAACAACTGCCACACCCCAGTCACAGATCTGGGAGACCGTGTGCTCAGGCCCAAGGAGACCCCCGCTCAGGCTAATTCCCTGACCCCATTCTCCACCACCGTCCAGAGCCCCTGACCCAAAGCCCTATCAAGAATAAGAGCAGTGACCTCTGTCACATTGCCATAGTCCTCAGCTCATCTATACATAGATTCCCTGCTTCAGGACCATGAAGAAAGTAGAATACAGTTGCCATGGAGACGAGCCCCCCATGAGAGCCTCAGTGGGCCTTAGAAGGGCCTCTTCATTGGATTCCCTTCACCAAGGGATGTTAGCTGCTTCCAGTTCCCTTGATGATCACCCCTAACTACACCCCCACCTGCCCAGCCCCCCAAAGCCTGGATAGGCCATGCAGTGAAGGGGGGGATTCAGACACACAGGATCAAGGGTCAGATCTCAGTTTGGCTCACTAGTGGCATCACCTTGGGCAAACCTCTCAGCCTCTCTGGGGCTCGGTTTCCTCAACTGAAAACTGACCTAATGTCTTCTGAGGTCCCTTTTGGCTATGTTCCTAATTTATCAATACTCTAATCCTGATTGTGCCGCTGGCTCAATGTGGGACCTTGGGCAAATGTCTACCCTTCTTGAGACTTTGGGGTCCTCCTTCATAAAATGAGGTATTTGGGTTGGATCTCTAAGAGGCTACATTTCTAGTCATGTTTGGGGTGCTCCTAAAATGGCCTAACCATAGTAACAATCCTTGGAGAATTAGACCCATTAAAAGGCAGCTGAGGCAAAAAGGACAGAAAATTAAATTGGACTTCCAAGTCCCAGCTCTGACACTAACACAACATGTGATCTTGGGTGAGTCACTTCTCCTTAGTTTCCTCTTTATGAAATAAAGGGGGAAAAATAGGAAGGGGGAAGCATGGAAATGACTGGTATGGAAGAAAAAAAATGCCTCAATAAAATTTAGAAATCAAAAACAACAATGAGAAGTTGGATTACATGGTGTCTAAGGGCCTATGGTTCTCTGGCCAGGCCTCTACTTGGCCTGAGCTGGGGGTTTTAAGCTGCTGAATCCCAACCCTCAGCCCACGCCAGCTTCCAGCTAGAGAACAGGGAGCTGGTGGGGCAGGCCCCTTGATATAGCCCTCCTTCAGAACTCAGGAGAAAGTGGAGAAGAGGCCCCAGAAGAAGGCCAATAGGACCCTGGCAGCCTGGATCCCAGCATCTTCTTTGTGAGACTCCCATGTCAACACAACCTGGCACCTCATAAAGCAGGGACCCAAGGGGATAAAAGAGTGGCCAGTCCTTTCTCCACTTGGATACATACACATCTCTTTAATGCCTTCACCCTGTGGGGCTCACAGGAGATCTGGAAATAAATAGACAGAGGAGAATAGGGTAGAAGGAATGGGAAGCTGAAGAAGGAGTTGTCACCCGACTTAGGGATGAGGATAAAGGCCCAGAGTTACCCAAGAGCAATCTCTGGTCTAGCTCCTCCCCAGTGGGATGTGCAGTCTCCATCTGGGGAAGCCCCCTATGGTGCCCAGGGCTACCCAGGTCTGCAAAGGTCACTTCAGTGCTGGACCACCCTCCTTCAGGACCAAGGTTACTGGAGGAGTAAAGACACCAACTCAGGAGGTGGCATGGGACAGTGGTTCTGCAACTCATTTGCTGTGTGATGATTGGTTGAATCCTTTCCTTTGGACTCAATTTTCCCATCTGTAAAATGAGGGAATTTCCAGCTATGTTTCAAGGGCCCTTCCAGTTCTGACATTCCATGTTCTAAGGACCCTCCCAGCTCTGACATTCTGTGTCCTGATGGCCCTCTGAGTTCTGACATTCTGTGTTCTGATATTCTATGTTCTAAGGGCCCTCCCAACTCTGACAT